AAATAAGAATATATATAGAGATTATAAAACCTGCCGACAAAGGACAGTAAAGCAACTAGAATATCACAGATATGTATGTATAACTAGTAATTGAATCTAAAACGTTTTAACTATAAGGGACAACACAATATAAAAATTGGCTATAGATCGCCACCAACTGAAGGTAGATCACCATACTAGGAGCCATGGGGACTTACATTACTTTTCCTACCTGCATGGACCCTAGCTGGATTTACACCATCCCTTCAGCCGCTGGCGATTGTAGGAGAGTTTAGCCAACACTTAAAATAACAAAAATACTACGTTTAAAATGTGATAATTTATATTTTATTTTGAAAGTTTTGGGACTTACTTACCCTCTCAGGAGGACAATAATTTTAAGGTACTTTAACCCCCTTTGAGGGTACAGCCACTAACAATCTAAGTTAACAATCTAAACTACCAATCATTAAAACACATCTATCTACAGAACATATATATCAAAATGCATTCATGAAATCAATTTCTTTTAAAAAACCAAGAACTAAATGAACATGAACAGTATTAAAAAGATCCGTAACAGTTTTAACATTAAAATATTTATCCCTTAAGATGGAGAATTCAACACAGTCAAGCAGGACGTGCTTGACCGTGGTTCTCTCATCACAAGGGATACAAAACGGAGGATCCTCACCTTTCAATAGGTATGCATGAGTGTATCTAGTGTGGCCAATACGACATCGTCGCATGATGACCTCTTAAAATCTGGACTGACAACCCAGGTAAGTGTAACCAATATAGGGTTTTATTTCGTGTAATTTATTGATACCTACTTGGGTCTCCCACTTCTTTTGCGGCACCCTTGAAGAGCAACCTCCTCGTGGTGGGTGCTGGGTAACGACAATTGCTCTTCGCCCCCGTGTGGACCCGGGGTCGAATAGGTCCACAGCACCCCATTGCCGGTCGTAAGAGGCGACCAAATTGGGCAACCCGTTTGCCGTGGGTTGCATCCCTGTGTCGGCAGAGGAAGGGAGTCTGGTGGTTGAGGATGACGGAACCGGCAATAGTGTTCAATGATCCAACACACCACTTCGACCCTAACTTTGCCTAGACGGGTGGTAGAATAGGCCCGATTCTACCAATCGGCTGGTCACGCCTTGCCCTGTGCATGGAATGTCTATACAAAATTTGGTATTACATAACACTTTTGGCCATGTTCAAAATGTTAACTAATATTCTACGAAAACAAATTAGCCTCGCAGACCCATGCACAGAAGGCGGTGGCTCATGGGCCAATCTGGTGATGCTGACCTCCGATTTCTGTACGTCTCCAATTGATTGTCATGGACAGAACCATCCTGACCTTTAATCTGGTAGGCAGCTACAGCATTTCATGTCAAATTCGCTGGAGTAAAACACCCCCTTATCCCTGGTCTTTGCAGCTTGGAGATCTACTGCAATATAAGATCGTCCTTGTTGACACTCCATGGTGGGTGGGGAGAGGGGATGCCGAACCACATTACTCACGGGCACCCGTGAAGGGCCACCTCCTCGTGGTGGGTGCTGGGTAACGCTAAGCGCCCTTCGAACCCCGTTGTGGACCCGGGGGGATATTAGGTCCACCAACCCGTTTGCCGTGGGTTGCGCCCCTGTGTCGGTGGAGGACGGGATTCTGGTGGTTGAGGGCACTGGTTCCAGGAACAGTGTTCCTTTGCCCAACACACCACTTCGGCCCTTACTTCACCTAGACGGGTGGTAGAACAGGCCCGGTTCTACCAATCGGCTGGTCACGCCAAGCCCTGTGTATAGACTATATATATATATGTCATTGCACCAATTTGATTTGGAATTGTTTTAATTTCGGTCTTGGCCTACTTGTTTATCTAAAACGTTTGTAATTTTGAAATATACTGTTATGAACTTTGCCTAGAGTCTTATGCCCGAAGGCGGTGGCTCATGGGCCAATCTGGTGGAATTATTAATCTTTTAATTCTTCTGCTGGAGTATATCATCCGGGTATCCTTGGTGCTTCAAGTTGGAAATCCACTTGTTTTAGCATTGTCCTTGTGATACTCCATGGTGGGTGGGGAGCTCGGATGATGAAATCCTACTAACTAACCATGGCTTACCTAAACCCCCAAAAGACCAAGCGTCCACTTGACACTGATCCTGTTGAAACTGACCTCAGACTGCCCAACTCAATTGATTACTGGCCACGTTTTCTTGTGCTTGAAACTATTGACAAGACACCTTTGAAGTTGAATCCTTTTGCCGTAGCTAAAGGTATACAAGGCATAGCTGGTGACATTAAGAACATTAAACGATTACGTTCCGGTGCTCTGCTGGTTGAGTGTGCAAAGAGGCACCAAGCCACCAACCTTATGAGTATTGATTCTTTTGTCGGCATTCCAGTCACGGTCTCAGCTCACAAAACACTCAACACGAGCAAAGGAATTATCAGAGATCAGGATCGATTGTTTGCTGACATGTCAGAACTTGACATCGTCTCTGAGATGAAAGATCAAGGCGTACTCTATGTCAAACGTTTCACAACCAGGAAAAACGATACTGTTATAAAAACAAATACCTACCTGTTTTCATTTTCTACACCAAATGCTCCAAAATCTCTAAAGGCAGGATATTGTAACATCAATGTTGACACGTACATTCCGAACCCTCTCAGGTGCTTCAAATGTCAAAAAGTTCAGTCATGGCGTAAATACTTGCACATTGTCTGTTGTATGTGCTCACTGTGGTGAGAAGACACATACAACAGAAGATTGTGACAGTACTGTCAAAAAATGTACAAACTGTGCAGGGGATCATTCCTCTTACTCTAAAAGCTGTCCTGTTTGGAAACGTCAAATGGAGATAAATCAAATCAAATTCACCCAAAACATTAGTTTTGCAGATGCAAAAAAACTAGTTCAAAGCTCCGAGCATAAAGAGAGCTATGCTTCTATCACCAGAACACCGTCAGAAGCGACAACTAGAATAACAAAATCATCTGCATGCTGTCAGACAAACTTGACCTGGGTTAAATCTGATTCTCCTCTGATATGCTCACCTGCAATATCTACACAAACTGCAGAACCACTTCCTGGTACGCCACAAATCCAATCAGAACCATCTTATGACCGTGACACTTCTCAGTCAACTCAAAGATCTCAATCAACGCCAAACGTTCAACCAATCGTTAAAAACAAAGGCAAACTGAAGCCAGATTCAAAGAAACAAAGTGGAAGAGCCCCAAAGGGTCAGATGATAAAATCAAGTTATTTAACAAATACGGATCACTTGAGGACATGGACGTGTCCGAAAACGTCCATTCTAGGGCACATAGCTTGTCGCCCTCGAAAACGGTGCGAGGGTAGATCCCCAGTTAATCCGCCTAAAAAGATAGGTATATCTACCAATATCGTGCAGTGGAACTGTAGAGGACTCCGGACAAATTTTAATGAAATACAGCTATTAATCCAGGATTTAACACCATCAGCGTTCTGTCTGCAAGAGACGTATCTGAAACAGACAGATAATTTTAACTTACGTCAGTTTGAAGCCTATAATTATTTTTCCCTCCAGGTGATAGAGCCACTGGAGGTTCTACTATCCTTATACGACAGAATGTTATTCACAGCCCTGTTACTCTTAACACTAATCTCCAAGCTGTTGCAGTGCGACTTACTCTGGGTGTAGCATTTACGTTATGCTCTCTGTATATTCCGCCTTCATCAACACTTCATCTGACTGATCTTCAATCACTCTATGATCAACTCCCGAAGCCATGTGTTATCATGGGTGACCTAAACGGTCACAATCCACTCTGGGGCAGTACTAACATTAATACTAAAGGTAAAATAATTGAAGACTTCATTTCCAATAATGACCTGTGCATATTTAATGATGATTCAAGCACCTATCTGCATCCTGCAACTGGCACTTATTCTTCTTTGGATTTATCTGTTGCTGATTCTAACCTCCTGAATGAATTTGATTGGTCTGTTCATAATGACCTGTGTGGAAGTGACCACTTCCCAACTATCCTTTCAGAAATAACTCCATCTGATTCTCCATCGTACACAAGATGGAACTTTTCGAAGGCTAACTGGTCTTCATTTCAATATAATTGTAAATCGAAATTGCGACCTGATTTTTTCAGTGATATAACTGATCCCATTCAAACTTTTTCTGACGTTTTAAATGAAATAGCTGATGAGTGTATACCAAAGTCCTCTACGACTCCATGGTTTAATACTGATTGTAGACAAGCCAGAAAAACGAGGAAAAAGGCCGAGCGTTATTTCCGCCATCATCCAACTGTCCATAACTTAAATAAATTTAAAATACTCAATGCAAAGGCGCGTCGTACCTTTAAACAAAACAAACGACTATCTTGGAGAAATTATGTCTCCAAAATTAATTCACGCACGCCAATGTCTAAGGTTTGGAACATGGTTCAGTGAATAAAAGGCAAAGGTTCAAAATCAGCTGTACACCATCTTAAAGATGGCGATAATTTAATAACTGACAAATCTAAAATTGCAGATAAAATTGGCTGAAACTCTTGCCAAAATTCATCATCGGCAAAATTATGTCCCTGAGTTTCAGAGATATCAGAAGCAACAGGAAAAAGACTAAACTTAATTTTGCATCTCACGGTGAAGATTATAATGAAGTGTTTTCATTATATGAGCTACATACTGCTCTTGAGCAAGCTCATGACACTGCAGCGGGTGATGACAATATACCTTACCAGCTACTGAAACACTTACCTGAACCATGTCTGATGACACTTTTAGATATATCTCACCAAATATGGACGTCTGGAGAATTTCCTCCTTCATGGCGTAATGCCATTGTAGTCCCAATACCAAAACCTGGCAAGGATCATACAGATCCGTCTAATTACAGACCGATATCTCTAACTAGCTGTGTCTGTAAAACCATGGAACGTATGGTGAATAATAGATTAACTTGGTATCTTGAAACCAATAACCTTATTACAGATATTCAATGTGGTTTCGGGGTAATAATTTATATTATTAAAGTTTAACTCCAGGTCATGGACAGACGGGCGCCTCACCGCCAGTATCGGGAAAACGGCACCCCGCCACGCAAGCTTGCACGTGCGCGGCGTGCGTACGGGCATGCGACTCGTCGTCATACGGGACGAAGAGTCAGTCTCGCGGCTGCAGTCGACGTGTAAAGACAGTTTGAGTATGGCGGAGAAAGAAACGTTCGAGTCTTGGCTTACAAAGCAAGGTTTCACAGACAGTTCAATAAATAAATTGACTAAAGAAGAATTCACTAACTCAAGCGAACTCCTGGAGTTGGATAAGTCGGACATTGAAAGCCTGAATTTAAAATTAGCACAACGAAAACTGCTAGAAAAAGTTATTAAATCACTCCAAAAAGCGCCTCAACCCTCGGAACCTCATAACACCCCCTCCGCTCCGGTTACAACTGGAGACCTTGCAAAAGATAGTGAACTGAACCAGTTGCTGGAATCCCTGGGCTCCTCTACACTCCAAGACGTTCTAAATACGGAACATGCGGACCACGTTGCACGGAAGGCCTTACAAGGTGAGCGTCCACTCTATATCACCGATTTTGTAACGAGACCTAGGGCGGTAGTTCAGGAATCTCAGGACATTTTCAATGCCGCTGAGGGTACAGTTCTGCTTAAACGAAACTCTCAATCAAAGATTAGACCGGAGCAAGTAAATCCAGCGCAATGGATATCCGCTAACGCACGAATAATGATCAATCTGCTTAAATCTAAGCGTCTCGATCCACAACAAACCATAGAATATCTAGAATATACGGCTTACATCGGCGACTATCTTCAGCAGCATACTGCTACATCTGTTATGCTTTTTGACTATATGCATAGGAAATCACAGACAGAAGAGGCCAAGAAGTGGACTGATATAGATTATCATAGCATGTTTTATTATCTAGAAAAAAATGAACCAGCTTCAGTCAAGAAACCGTGGCGTCGTCCAACTAACGGCAGTAAAGAAATCTGTATAAATTTTCAGAACCACTCAGGTTGCCGGTATACCAACTGTAAATATGCGCACGTGTGTGTCATCTGCTACGGCCACACCCGGAGTACGCTCACCAGTCTCAGTCTCAGAACCACACCCCAGCCCAGCCTCCAGCTCACAAATCGTGGTCAGGCTCTCAACCACATAGACGGCAGTAGCAACTACAGCCTAACCCCTTGACTCATGCGTTAGACCTATGGGAAACCGAGTTAGGGGATAATGACAAAGATTTTATTCTACTTGGTATTACTCACGGTTTTAGGATCATTGACAGAGATGCGGATGTCAAGCAAGTGGAATGTGATAATTCTAAATCTGCACTGTGCGAAGAAAATTTTGTGAAAGTTGAGGAAAAGCTACTTCAAGAACTAGATGTAGGTAACTACGTTAAAGTGTCACATAAGCCTACTATTGTGAGCAGTATCGCTGCTATTCCTAAAGGAGATTCGGGAGTTCGACTCATCCATGATTGTAGTAGGCCAGTAGGTCTTAGTGTTAATGATTATGTCACAACTAGTCAGTTCTTAGCCTATGATACAATTGACAAAGCAGTGCAGCTTTTACCACGTAATGGCTACATGGCAAAGATTGACCTTAAGAACGCCTATAGAAGCGTCCCGGTCCACCCTGATTGTTATGATGCTTTGGGTTTACAATGGGAATTCACCGGCGATAACAAGTTGACTTATATGATCGATACGAGACTGCCGTTTGGTTCTGCTAAAAGCCCGGAAATATTTCAGCGTATCTCTTCGAGCATCACTCGCATGATGAGACGCAGGGGCTTTGAGTGTATTTTGGTTTACTTGGATGACTTTCTGATCAAAGCAAAGTGTAAACAGACATGCGAATTAGCAGTTAAGTGTCTTCAAGAATTGATTGAATCATTAGGCTTTACAATTAACTATGACAAGTTTGTTGAACCAGCACAAAAGCTGACCTTTCTAGGAATTGAGATAGATAGCTGTGCAGGAACCTTAACTCTCCCTGATCAGAAATCGATGGAAGTGAAAACATTGTTACATAACGTAAGCGACCTCAAGCGACCGACTAAACATCAATTGCAGAAACTGATCGGTAAGCTAAGCTGGGCAGCACGTGCAATCCGTGGGGGACGTACATTTCTCAGACGGTTGATAGACGTATGTAACAGTGTCCGGCAAAAACATCACTTTATTGCACTTAATGCCTCCGCCAGAGCAGATATCAAGTGGTGGTTAGATTTTATGTCAATATTTAATGGTACTACCTTTGTAATCCAAGGCGAACCAATATCCTACGAGGAGTTTGCGACAGATGCGTGCGACACTGGCGGCGGCATTTACAATCGTGATTGGGTTTATATAGCGTGGCGTTCTGACATGGTATGCTTGTGTAATGAACATATCAACATCAAGGAACTTGCGATCGTTGGCGTGGCGGCGAGGAGATGGGCGGCGGCATGGAGCGGGAAACATGTGATTATTTATACCGATAACTCGGCAACTATGTACGCTATTAACAAAGGTACCTCACATAACCCAGCAGCAATGAAGATAGTAAGGCATTTATTTTGGCTAGCTGCATCCCTACGGCTTTCACTTAACCTCTAGACACATTCCGGGTGTGAGGAACACAATCAGTGACAAAATCTCTCGGCTCCACAGAAAAGACAATATGTCATGGTTACAAAATGCTGGTTATGACATGAATTTGTTAAACCATATGACTCTCAGTTCTATGACGTTTTGCAGGCCCAGTGGTAGCAGATCTGTGTCGGTTAGACGCCGAGCTGACATCATACAAAGCAGGCGGCCTATGCATACACGACTAAGAAAACCTACTCTGCGATGATACGATGTTATCTCAGGTTCTGCGTATATTTCAGTCTTACACCACTTCCAGCTTCTACTTTGACTATAGGCCGGTACATAGCCTTCCTAGCGCTCTCTCAACGCTAACAGTATACCCGGATACCTCAACGTCATCAGACTACTACATCTCAACTCTGGCTTTGACAACCCCCTCACTGCATGGACGTTAAGTCTAGTTAGAAGGGGTGTCATGCGTATTAAAGGCAAGCCACCGGCACAGAAATTACCTATCACGCCAACCATTCTGCGACAAATCAGATCTAAACTCGATTTATCTATCCCATTTAACATCGCATTTTGGAGTGCATGTTTGGTGGCTTTCTTCACCTTCATGAGAAAGTCTACACTGTTACCTGGTAAACAAAGTAAGTCTCCTGATCGCCAATTGTGTGTTCGTGATGTTATTGTTAATGATGCTACTGCCTATGTGACCATTCGACATTCTAAGACTATTCAGTTCGGACAGAGGGTGTTACGACTGCCACTGGCCAGTCTGAAGGTTTCCCTTTGTGCCCGTTACAGCGCTCAGATCACTGCGTGAGATCCAAGGCAAGATACCGCCTACAAATCATCTGTTTTCTTTCATGTGTGATGGTAAGATCTGTGGTCTAACGTATACCGCCTTTATTACAGCACTAAAGAAAGTGCTGGGGGCCTGTGGGTACCCGGCAGATGGCTACAGTGGCCATTCGTTCAGGCGAGGGGGGTGTACCTTCGCTTACAAGATAGGCGTGTCACCCATGCTCATTAAACTCCATGGAGACTGGAAATCAAACGCTTACGAAAGATACGTTTCTGTAGATGGAGTAACCCATGATAAACTTTCAAAAGCAATGATAATAGCAGCATCATGTGCAGAATAGGTGTTGGGGGTTTGGAGGATTTTATGTATTTATATGAAAAGTTTGTTATTTTATGTGTCAATGTGAATAACAATTGGCATCGTATCCCCAACACCTATTATGTTATATCATGGAAAGAGTTAAGGGGTAATAATTTATATTATTAAAGTTTAACTCCAGGTCATGGACAGACGGGCGCCTCACCGCCAGTATCGGGAAAACGGCACCCCGCCACGCAAGCTTGCACGTGCGCGGCGTGCGTACGGGCATGCGACTCGTCGTCATACGGGACGAAGAGTCAGTCTCGCGGCTGCAGTCGACGTGTAAAGACACCCGCCCACCTCCCTGGGCAACCTGTTTTACTGATAGATTTTTACTAGTGTTAAGAGAGGAGGATTTTATGTATTTATATGAAAAGTTTGTTATTTTATGTGTCAATGTGAATAAAAATTGGCATCGTATCCCCAACACCTATTATGTTATATCATGGAAAGAGTTAAAGGAAAAATCGAAGTACCATTGATCATTTGGTACGATTAGAATCCTTTGTTAAAAATGCAATCATAAATAAACAACATGCCGTATCGATATTCTTTGATCTCGAGAAAGCAAACGATACCACCTGGAAGCATGGCATTTTAAAGGATTTACATGATTTTGGTTTAAGGGGCCGTTTGCCTCTTTTTATATCACGGTTTTTAAAAGACAGACAATTTCAAGTCCGAGTTGGTTCAACCCTGTCTGATCATTACAATCAGGATCAGGGTGTCCCTCAAGGCAGTATTTTGTCTGTCACATTGTTTAGTATCAAGATAAACAGTTTATCCAAGGTTTTAAACGATTCAATTGATGGATCACTTTTTGTGGATGATTTTAATATTTCTTGTCGTGGTAAAAATATGCATACTATTGAACGGCAATTGCAGTTGTGTTTAAATAAAATAAATAAATGGTGTCTTGAAAACGGCTTTAAATTTTCCAAATCCAAAACTAATTGTCTACACTTTTGTAGAAAATATAAGCCGCATTAAGATCCAGAACTATCTTTAAATGGCACTCCAATCAAAGTTGTTAAGGAGGCCAAATTCTTGGGCCTAATTTTCGACTCCCATTTAACCTTTTTGCCGCATATTAAATCACTTAAAGCCAAATGCCTGAAGGCACTCGATTTGTTGAAAGTTGTTTCCAACTCAAAGTGGGGAGGGGATCAAGCTACCCTCCTCCACCTATATCGATCATTGGTCCGCTCGAAACTTGATTATGGCTCCATCGTATATGGTGGAGCCTGTAAAAGCAACCTAAAACTACTTGATTCTGTCCACCACCAAGGCCTACGACTTTGTCTTGGGTCCTTTAGAACCTCTCCTATTGATAGTCTATATGTTGAAGCAGATGAACCTTCTCTTACACAACGTCATATAAAATTATCCTTACAATACATTACTAAACTATATTCTAGCGAGTCTAACCCTGCATTTAACTGTGTCTTTAATCCCCTCTATGAGGATTTATACAATAAAAAACCTTCTCTTGTTCCGCCACTTGGGCACAGAATTAAGCCCTTCATTTCTGTTGCCGGCATTGAGCTGGAAAATATAGCTCATTCGCGTCTTCTTTCTTCTCCTCCTTGGCAACTGGTGAGGCCTGAAGTTGACCTAACACTGACAAAGTTTAAGAAATCTGTAACTAATGACTTACAATATAAACAAGAATATAATCAATTAAAAAATAAATATAATACTCATAAATCCTTATTTACAGATGGGTCCAAGGATGGTGGCGCGGTGGCTTGTGCCACTGTCATTGGATCCAGAACAATCTCTTCTCGTTTACCAGATAACAGCTCTATTTTTACAGCAGAAGCTAACGCCATATTAACAGCTCTTAAATATATTAATAAACACCGTAAATATGAGCAATACATAATATTTTCCGATTCTGTTTCGTGTCTTCAGGCTATTAAAAATCTCTCTTGTAAACATCCACTTTTATTAGAAATTATTGAATTGTATAATGAGCTTGCTACTGGCCAATGCGACATCGTCTTTTGTTGGTTACCCAGCCACGTTGGCATTTCTGGGAACACAATGGCTGATATTGCTGCTAAGGCAGCACTCAACAAATCTGTGACACCACTTCTGATCCCATACTCTGATTACAAGGCTGCTATAAGATCTTATATCCGTGATCTGATGCAAAAGAAGTGGGACACTCAAGTAGGTATCAATAAATTACATGAAATAAAACCCTATATCGGTTACACTTACTTGGGTTGTCAGTCCAGATTTGAAGAGGTCATCATGCGACGATGTCGTATTGGCCATACAAGGTACACTCACAAATATTTGTTAAATGGTGAAGATCCTCCGTTTTGTATCCCCTTGTGATGAGAGTCACAGTCAAGCATCTCCTGCTTGACTGTGTTGAATTCTCCATCATAAGGGATAAATATTTCAATGTTAAAACTGTTAAGGATCTTTTAATTCTGTTCATCTTCATTTAAT